TGGTTGCCCAATCTAGTTTAGTGTCAAAATTTCTAAGGGAGGTTGTTTTGCCATTGCTTTGCTTTGTTTTGTTTTAATAGGTTCCTGGACTCTCCAGAGGTGGGAAGACACCTGGGTTGAGGTATCAGCCAGTTCCTGCCCAGAGACCTGTTGCCCGTTAAGGAAACTGACCCACCTCCTTCTCAAGGACCAGCATTGGCGAAGGAAAAACTAGAACTTTTGTAGCAGAAATGCAAATATTAAAAACCAGTCACGTTTCTGGTTTTTTAACTTTAAAAAGACTCTTGAGGCNTTGGCTGTGCTGGGTGAAGGGAATGGATGGAGTGTGGCTGCAGGAGGTGGAAGGGTTGGCCCTGAGCTGAGCACCTGAAGCAAGTAGACTCCGCTTCGGGGGATGGCCGGCAGGGCCCTAAGGGAGCTGACCCAGCCCCGAAAGTCTCAGGTCCCCATGTGATAGAGCACAGGCTGCTCTGTGGGAGAACCGCCCAGCAAGGGTTCCCGTCCACAGCTGCCCCCGGTGACTCTGACCCCAGACCTCGCCGGTTCATCTGAACCGCCTCGTGTAACATAAGCACGGTTTCAACGGGCCAATCGCTCACGGGCCGTTGCACTTCCACCCCGTGGGTGAGCCAGAACTCACCCAGCCGTTTCCCACACCCTGCTCCCAAAGATCCAGTAGTAAAGTTAATACTGCGACGAAAATTTGCACATAAAACTTTTACTGCTATCACTTCCAACTCTAAAAATAGTTCATACTCTTTGATGAAACCTGGTGACGGTTATTTTCTCAAGTTCAAGACACCAAGTCTCGAGTACTACTTCCTTCTCAAAGAATGCAACTAGAGATCATGTGATAAAGTTCAATGCCTGTGGATTAAAAAAACAAAAACCTCTTAGCAAGCAAATAATAAAAGGTAATTCCCTTAACCTGATAAAAGATACCTACCAGGAATCTCAGGGAACATCTTATCTAATAATGGTTCCCTTAAAAGCGAGGCGTGAGATATGACTGCCTATTATCACTGCTTCTCTCTCGGAGGTCCCAGGAAAGAAACTTGCTGCCCCTCCCGGGGGCAGAGAAGCAGGCATCCTCGCTCACTGCCTGCCTGGTAAGCCCCACCTTTAAGGATGGCAATGTGGCAACCTAGGTAAGTCCTAAAAGAGCACATACTTCCTGACCCTGCAACCCCGTCTTTACAAACACACCCTATGGCAATACCTAAGGCCGTGCGCAGCGATGTAGGCGTTAGGATGCTCGCTCGCTCCAGGGCCATCTGCACGCAGCGACAGGTGTGACGACAGGTACTCGCTCTGTGGATCCCGGCACAAACACANCGCTCGCTCCAGGGCCATCTGCACGCAGCAACGACAGGTGTGACGACAGGTACTCGCTCTGTGGATCCCGGCACAAACACATGACGGATTACTGGCCACGAAATGATGCTGTATGAGAGCAATTCCTGGAGGAACAGCTTAAACTAGTGTGCTCGGTATCCCCTTCACAGGTGTTGGTGCATGCGTGCACACACACACACACACACACAGGGAACACCCAGACCAGAACGTGGAGGACTNGCTAGTGTGCTCGGTATCCCCTTCGCAGGTGTTGGTGCACGCGTGCACACACACACACACACACAGGGAACACCCAGACCAGAACGTGGAGGACTCCCTGTGCTGTTTTCCTCATTCTCTTAAAACAGGTGTCACTTTCCTAACTAGGCGGCTCATCTGCTTCCAACACTGGCTCCATGGTGGGTGAAGGCAGCCGCCGTGCAAGGACTGAGTGGCAGCTCTCCTTTCATCTCGGACCCACAGCCCAGACGGCTACGCTGCACTCTTATTGTTCAACGCTATCAAAGGAAAACCTTAAGGTTAATTTTATACGCGCACGTACACATGCTCTCCAGAGATCCCCTCGCTCACTCATATTCAGGAAACCGCTCTTCAGCCAAGTTCTTGGCAGACCACAGGCCGCCGTGCAACCCAGAGATGAGACTGGGGGTGAGGGAGCTCACTGGGCTGTCCCCCTGGCCAAGGTGGGGGAGCGTGGAAGGGAGGAGAGAAGAGGAAGGGGGACCTCACAGCCATGTGCTGTGCGCGCGCTCAGACAGAAAACCCCACCACGGCTACAGCAAGGAGGATCTTTATGTACGTATCTTTGTAATCAACACGGTTCTTCAGAACAGCAAGAGACAAAAAGGAATAGAATGTTCTAAACAGGTACAGCCCTAGGTCGACATGACAAACCCAGTTAGGATCGTCTGGAGGCGTCTGTGAGAGACTGAGGTGCAGAGGCATTGGAAGGAGTGGCTCCTGGTGTTAGTGCCGACGACAGGTACAGGCATCTCTAAAGATAAAGAAACCAGTGCTCGGTGAGTGCTTTGGGTGCTTGCATCCAGTGTCCGACACGTGGGCAANTGGCTCCTGGTGCGAGTGCCGACGACAGGTACAGGCATCTCTAAAGATAAAGAAACCAGTGCTCGGTGAGTGCTTTGGGTGCTTGCATCCAGTGTCCGACACGTGGGCAAAAGAAGGAGTCCACGCTGGTCCGTGCCCGAGCTGTGCGGCAGAGGCCACTGCAGATTTCTTTATGTTCTAAAGTCGGCGAGGCTTCTGCGTTGGCTGGTTCATAATTGAAAGCAATTACACGGTACAGTGCATGCACATTACTGGTACAGAGAGTGCTTTAACAGGGAATCTGTTGGTTTCTAAAATTCTGACAAGGTCTTTTTTTTTTTTTAACCTCAAAAGACGATTATCCATTCATTCAAAAAATACTGATCCCACACGGTGTGCCGTCTCACCCATCCCTTTCTCAGAAGGCCAGGGCTGGGCAACTGGCGTGTGCTGTTGACACTGAGACAATGGGGGACAGCATGCTGATCCTCAGGGCTGCCATCCGCGGCCTCGACACCATCACCTTTGCCTTCCCAGGCCCAGACCCTCAGGGAGCAGGGAGCTGACTCAACAGAGAAAAGAGTAATTCTCTGTACAAGTCAGACATCCCTCAAGGGAAACAAGGCTGTTCTGACTCATTGGGGCGGAGAAGGAGAAAAGAATTCAAGGTGGAATCATTCCTATCTGCAAAGTTCAGCAGGTAGAAGGAAATCGTGTCATTTGCTTGACTTTGGGAAATGCAGCGGGTCTCCGTCCCCGGGTGGTTTGCAAAGTCAGCCCAATCTTCCACCTACACCCTCCCCAAGACACAGGCTGTGGGCTTGGCTGCTTTTTAAGAAGCTACATGCTGACTTCAGGTGGCACAGAATTCAAGCAACACTGCAATGTCTTACTAGTCATGTCTTCCATCTTTAGTTCCTTTGGGGGTAAAAATACTGCAAAAGGAATAAAATGGCTTTTTCTCGCTATATCTATCATTCCTGTGTTTCCTGTTCAAAAAAGCCCACACAACCACATTCTCAATTTTACTATAAAAATGTACACCTCTCATAGTAAAAGCCCTGTCTAAAACTATAGCTTTGGTTTCAGAATTAGCAATCCAATCAGCTCAGGTGAATATTGGCTGCATCAGTACTATGCCTGCAAACATGGCCTCGGTCCACAGGCAGGATAAAGATGCTGTCTATTCTTGTGATGGTGAGAGAAGGGGATTGAGGAGTGAGCCTTCAGTTTAGCCAAATGACAGCTGCATGTAGCAGTTTTTAAAATGCACTATCTGTTCAAGTAAAAAGGGTCGAGCTGGTTTTGTGAGCCCACCACAGGACTGCAAAGTGCTGGAGAAAGGCCCCTGGAGTCAGGAGGGAGTGCAGCGCATGGCTTCCCAGTCATGGTTTATAGAAACTTTGTAGCCAATGCATCTGTGTGCAAAGAGCATGAAACCCGCCTATTGCAGGAGGAAATGTGGCTAAGTCGCGCTGAGTGCCGGCAGTATTTACCTAGAGTATCTGAAGTGCTACTTCACCTCTCTGTGGCTCAGTTCCCATCTGCATAGTGGCAATAACAGGTCTGTCTCTGACCTGCTGAGACAGGGGGAGGAGTGGGGGAGACAGTGCTAGAAAGCACCGAGGCCTTCTCCAGAGAAAGGCAGTGTTCAAGTAACAAAGTATTCAGAGTATTCCAATCAAAAGAAGCACAAAATTCAAGTAACGGAGTTGCAGGTGCTATGTTCTGGCTTCTGAGCTGAGCCTGGCTCCATCTGCCGTGGAGAGCTGGTGGTTCGAGGGGGGGGGCAGGACAAGCTGCACGTGGGGCCCATATGCCATCCCACCACCGAGGACCAAAACGCTCAAGAGGAGAAAACGAATCTTGGGGAAAGCTTAGTGGAATTAGCAAGCTGTTCGGGCAGTTGCCGAGTGCACATCCCATTGGTGTTCTCCGCATAAGATCTTCAAGTGAGTGAATGACCTAAATTTCAACGGAGAAGAGCTTTCTTCGTTTTGCAGGTAGAAATAGGAAGTGAGGGAAAGGCTATCTAGATTTTCCTCCTACACTTGAGCATAAGAATAAAAAAACAATTTGAGACTGGCTGAAAGAAACCACTGAAGGAAAACTCACACGCGCAAACATTCCCCCAATGGGGGATGAAGAGGAAAATCGGGAAGTTTTTTTGCAACTAAGAAACTTACTTTGTACAGTTTCTGTCCTAGCAGGCAAGTGGTGCATGCGCGAGTACCAATAACACCCAAAGGACTGGAAGGTTTGGGAACCCCAAGGCCCTCAGAATAGGAAAAGAAGGGCTAACAGTCTAGATACATAGTCTTTTTGAAACAGCTGACAATGAAAAACTGGAAAAACTTCACATTTTAAAACCACAATATTTATTTCACCACAAGAACCCACGGTATCAATTACCCGTGGATGGGAAACATCCCTCATCTAGTTCCCATGATGAATCTTCCGGTTTCCGTTTTTACGGATGCGGCCCGTCTCCGAGCCTGTCCACTCATTTTCCCGGGACAGCTGAAATTCTTTTGGTGGCATTTAGCTGGAACCCTTGTACCGCCGTGAAAAGGTGAATCTCAATACAACGTTTCTGGGAATCATCGCTTCTTCGTGCTACTATTTCCTCCGCCAGATTTGCTGAAGCTCCTGCTCATGTGAGGAAAGTGCACAGTCGGGGTTCTCTCGGTAGGACCATAGAGCCCCAGATTCCTGGCAGTGGCGGACTTCCGCAGCGGCTTGACGCTGGGAAAGGGGCTGAAGACGGGAGTTTTGGGGTGGCTGCCCTGGGGAGGTCTGCCGGTGGCTTTGTTCTCTCCAGGCGCCTCGGGCTGCTCCGGGACGTGCCGCTGGCAGGGCAGGTGCCCCTGGGGCTCGGTGTCGGCAGCAGAGTCCCTTTGGTTCAGTTCCAAGGCTTCTAACTTCACCTGGACCATAGAGACGTCGGCATCTCCAAACTCGGGCTCCGGAGACTGGCCTTCGACTGTCCTCCCCCTGCGGCCTTCAGCGCTGACACCTTCTCCTCGGGCTGTCCCTGCCCCCCTGGGGGAAAATGCGTCGGCTGCCCCTGGGTGGTCAGCCCTGCAGCCCTCATTCTGTTCTTCTATGAGCCCGACGGTGTCCCCGCAGCCCAGCTGACTCTTGGTCCTCGTCGTGGTCTTTCTGTGGACTCGAATGTGAGTTCGCCACGGAGAGTTGAGCTTCGTCCTGAGGTCTTCGTAGGGGAGAGGAGACGATGTGCCTCCCGTGTGCCCGGGGATGTGAATGACGGCGCTCTTGGCAGCTCTGTCGGACACTTTCATCTTCTTCCCTAAAAGAAGGTGGTTTATAACTGGAGAGTTGTTTACCTGAGACGGGAGGATGCTGGTCACCGGTCCTTTGTCTGAAAGAAACATTGAAAGGCTCTGTGAAATATACCACAAAGAAACACGTCCCCCAGGTGACAGGAGGCACGCAGAGACTGCCCCCGGACCCCTTCCCAGGTATTCCCCGGGGGCTGGCAGAGACATGTGACTGAAGGCAGCAGAAACGGAATTCAAACCGAGAGCGTGGGGTGCCGAGTCCCTCCTCTTCAAAGGGGGGCAGAGACTCGGATCCCTCGTGACTAAGGAGAGCCCTAATGATTTTGGGGCGGGGAGCTTTTGTCTCTGAGAACCAACCTCAGAGATCTTCTATCTGGGAAATTTTGAGGATTTTTTTTAGAATAATGAACCAAACACTATGACCACACAGACTATCAGCAGCTGGCTTCTGAGAGGCTGGAAACAAACGCATTGCGAATTATGAAGACAGTCAGCAGGATGAGGAGCTGGTAAAAAAAAATGCAGCGAAATCACAGGGATCTGACGTCTGGTCCTGGGTGTGGAAAACCACTGTGTCCTCGATGAGAACTGGAAAACCATCAAAGGCTTTGTTCTGCTGGAGGGCACTGCTGATAGTATTACTGTCCCCCTCCTGTGGCCATCGCTGGGCCCCTATTCCGATGAAGCTTAAACACATGTGGCCCGAGACGGCGCAGCAGCAAGTAGGAGGAGTAGGGAGAAGGTTCCACTCTCTCTGCGTGAACAACCTTCCCTCTGACGTCCACGCCACCTGGCTGATCCTCCTACACGCCTCGACCGCTGTCGTCTACCTCTGGTCACAGCCTAAACCTTACCAGCCAGGTCCACCTGACATGGGACGTACTCAACTCTGATATTCTTCTCTTGGGCTCTTCCAGCTCTCAGCCTCTCATGTGAACTCTACCTGGTGCGAGAGGCAACTTCTTGTCTATCTCTGGCCACTGACATCCCTCCTCTGACAGACGCATGGCTGACCGCCTGGACCGCTGCCTCGCCAGTCACCACACGTTCCCGGCATCCCTCTCCCTTTGTCACACACGCCTGGAAAACCCCAGCCCTGGACCCACAATCCACATTCTCTCTTTTCGAACACGGGGCTGCCAAGGCTGCGAAGGGAAAAACCACACGGCCATGTGGACTGACAGCCCTTTGAATTCATAACTCCCTGTTTTGTCAGGTGCTCAAGGCTGCTGATCGATCTTTTTTCTTTCGCTCCCCCATTCCTTTCTATGGCCTATCCAAGTCTTCATTACTCTTTAAGCTCCCACCCAACCCCCCAACTTACTCCCAAGAAAACAACCTTTCCTCCAATTTCTCCATGAAAACAGAAGCGATCAGGTCTGAAAGACCTCACCTTCCTGCCCTCCGTAACCCAGGGAGCTGGTACTGCTAATCCTATCCTATGCCATCTCCTCTAAAACCTTCGACTCAGTGTGTGAGCCCCACCCAGCAGCACTGGCATCACCTAACAGCTGTTGGAAAATGCATAACCTCAGCCCCCCTTAAACCTACTGAAACACTCTTCATGTTAACAGATCCCAAGGTGACTCCTATGCACAGGAGAGTGTGAGAAGCAATGCTCTAGAGCTGTCCTTTGAGCAATAATCTCTCCCTAAAAAGAGCCAAATAAACCATGATTAAGAGTAGGGGTTGGCAAACTCTTACTGTAAAGGGCCAGATTATACATATTTTAACCTCTGTGGTGTAAAATCAGTCATAGACAATACGTAAACAATGGTCATGCCTGTATTCCAATAAAACTTTATTTATAAAAACAGGCAGCAAGCAGGGTTTGGCCTACAGACCATAGTGTGCAGACCCCTGAAGAGAGAACAGGTGGTGGGCTGAGTCGGCACCCAGTGGGGATGGTTCACTGTCTCACCCAGAGATTTACACAGTCCTGTTGAAAAAGGTCTATAGAAAACAGGATTCCAGCCCCGGCCGGACCGCTCACGACAGCTCTATAACCCCAGGCAATGGCTATGCCTTCCTGAACCTCCGCTTCCTCATCTTTTAAAAGAAGAAGAGGATGCCTGCCCTTGTCTTCCTCACAGATTTGCTTTAAGGACCAAATGAGGACGTGCATGTACCAATGCTCTGAAAATTGCAGTGCTGCAGTTGTTAGTTTCCTTTGTGATTGCTTTCTTTATGATTCAGGATAAAGTACAAATCTTCAAGAAGTCACCCACCCTCCCTGAGAAGTGGAAGGTAAATTCAGTTTTTGGTGCAAGATCAGTCACATGCTCACCAGCTTCTTAAAAACATGTCAGATTTATTATATACTGGTAAATTCCAGACGGATATCATTAGAATTTCACTTAGAACAAGACAAACCGATTCCAAAATCAGCATATATTAAACAACAAAGCAGACTGTTCCCTGGGATTTTTGGAATTAAAAAGAAAAAGAAAAGAAGCTTAACAATCCTTGGAAAAAGAGATTTTCACCTGCATTACAATTGTGTTCATCTCAGCAGAGGCCCAGGACACCGCTCAGCCATCAGCGTGGCTCAAGGGTGGCCTTTTCCTTTTTCTCGGATCACAACATCTGTTATATTACCTCCTAAATGACCAGTGGATAACTAACTTCCTAGTGCACAGATTGCTAAATTCTATTTTCAAGTGCCTGGAAATTTCAGAGGCAACAGCTCCAAAGTGTCTCAAGTCCAAGGATTGCTTGGCTTTGCAACCTTGTAATCATTTGTAAACCCTTCTCCACAAGCACAGAGGAAAGATGTGTTCAACACCATCAATCGCCTGGTGCTTGGGACTTAAGAAGAACCCATGGTCTTTTTCTTCTTTAAAGGCCGATAAGCTACAGGGAGCGGTCATTCCGAGGACGACCTAGGAATGTGTGTTCCCTCTCTCACAGGCTGCCATGAGCTGAAACGGACTGAAAGGGTCCCATTACCTGCTCTGATATACACCTGGTGGACCTGCTGCTGCTGCCTCCTTTTAATCCGGGAATACTGCCGCTTCAGAGCGTGGATGTCCGTGGTCATGCGCTCCATCATCATACTGTTGAAAGCGGCGTGGTATTCGCTTCGACAGGAATTGATTGCTCCCGGACTCAGCTCCGCAATGTTATTAGATCTCAGGCTCTGCTCTTCACTGGGTTCTGTGCTCGAGGGAAGGGAGACAAGGAGATGGTGTCAGTGGAGAACAGAACGAACGAGGGACTGATTACACGGTAACTCTAAGTAGCATCATAACCTCTAGGAAATTCTAACCCCCCCCATACACACACACACACACAAAATTTACACTAGAATTTGTCTAGTGCGTGTTTTAATTTGGTCCTGAAAATACTTCTGTATTTTCTTATTAGCCTAACTGTGGCTGTGAAATGAGCTGTGTGGGTTCATTGATTTTTATTACCATTTTGTTCATTATATAGACACAAGATCAACTGTTTCCAGATAAAAACCAGTTTTTTGTTTTTTTTTTGTATACTTTTTTTTTATTGACTTGAGAGAAAGAGAGAGAGAGAAACATCGATTTGTTGCTCCACTTATTAATGCATTCATTGGTTGATTCTTGTATGTGCCCTGACCCAGGACCAAACCTGCAACCTTGGTGTGTCAGGATGACACTCCAAACAACTGAGCTACCCAGCCAGGGCCTTCAGTTATTTTCTAAAATGCCCTTAAAAAATATAGCTCCAGATGTCAAGTCATTGTATAGAATTACATATAAATGTGTGAGAATTTATAAGTGATTGGTAGTTTGCAGCATTTAATCAGTCTTTAAAAGTGAGTTTTGCCCAGCCGGTATGGCTCAGTGGTTGAGTATTGATCTAGGATCAGGAGATCACAGATCAATTCCCAGTCAGGGCACATGTCCGGGTTGTAAGCTCCATCCCCAGTAGGGGGCGTGCACAAGGCAGCCAATCAATGACTCTCTCATTATTGATGTTTTTCTCTCTCTCTCTCTCTCTCCCTCTCTCCCTCTCCCTTCCTGTCTCTGAAATCAATAAAGAAAAAATTATATATATTTTAAAGTGAGTTCTTAGCCCTGGTCAGTGTGGCTCGGTTGGTTGGAGTGTCATCCCATACACTGAAAGGTTGCGGGTTTGATTTCTGATCTGGGTGTGTGCAAGAGGCAACTGATTGATGTTTGACTCTCACATCAATGTCTCTTTCTCTCTCTTTCATATCAATAAAATATCCTTGGGTGAGGATTTTTTTGTAAAGTGAGTTTTTAAGTTATACAAACAGCAACACATTCTGTGAAACTATCAAGACTTCGAATCACTCTACTACTAGAAATGCATGTTTTTATTTGTTTAACAGCCATTTCCTGACCACACACTATGTGTGTTATGTCTGGTGTGGTTTCTGTTCCTGTGACACCTACACTCACAGATTTGTCCCTTAAATAAAATTGAGATTACATCCAAGAGAGAAACAAGTACTGTGGGAAAGCATGCTCACAGGCTACACCAGCCAAGGAGGATAGACCGAGCTTCTCAAGCACAATATGCAAAACTGGCCTGGGGACCGAATAGGGACTTTGACTACTTTAATATCCACTGACAGAAAGCTAAACGTCTGATAAGTTTACTTTCTTTTTTCACTGAAAACACTTGTGCAAAAGAGAAGGAAATTAAAAGGGGACCTGCACATCTGAACTTAAGTAAAACCCACAAAAAGACTGATGATGAAATGGGAGAACGTGACCATGTCATCCTGGGGCACAGACCTGCGCAGAAAGAAAAATGGGGGGCAGGGGTGGGAGTGGGGGAATGGAACACAGACCCAGGCTTCGGAAATGCCGATTTTAAAATTTTAGAGTTAAAATCCATATTGATCCCATGGCTAGGAACCAAAAGCTGACATCCAAGCAACAGGAGAGGGTGGAAGGCATTACGAAATCAATGGGGCTCTTGTTGGGTTTACATTTTTAAACGCCTTTTAAAAAGATGAGAGGAAAGTACATACACCAAGGAACCCAAACTATGAAACAGGCTAAAACTTAAAAACAAGCTAAGGCTTAGGGAAATTACTCAAAACCAGCACTACATGAGAAGGTGGCCCCCCAACTTTGAGAAGGTGGTATAAAGTTAGCAGATGACAAACAATGCAAAGGTGTTTGATTATCTGTCTTGTTTCTGTCCCCTTTTGGCAAGGAGAAGGGTCTTCAAACTAGAAGATGTGGAATTAAATACCCTAAAGGAAGAGCTGCCACTTGGGATGGGAAGGAACGGAGTGAGAACCGTGAACTGCTTCGAAAGGGTTATCAACCACGTCTGGACCACAGGAAGTCTACTCTGCACAAATGAAAAACAAACACAGCATGGCCTTCATCAGCTCAGAGCACCGCATTTTAAAAGGGGCACTGCCAAACTGCAGGACCGTTGGCAGTGAATTTATAAAACACTATGGAAGTTCTGAGAGTCATCTCTTATGAGAAATGCTTAAAAGGAATTCTGAACTTGGGCCGTGGAGAAAGCGTTCGGGGACATGACGGCTGTGTCCTCGAAGACCTGAAGAGCCATACAGTCAAAGGGGGAGTAGACTCACTCTGTTTTGTTCTGAAGAGATAAACTATTAATAGAACGGGTAGATGGAGTGATCTCTTTGCAACTAGAAACCATGGGCTAAGTGGAGGAATCTAACAGAACGTCTTATGAGATATGAGTTTCTTGTCTCTCAAATTCAAGTAGAGGCCACCATAATGTTTTAGATTCAGAGGGTATTTCTACAGTGGAAGAGAAGAAGCCTGTCTCTAATGAATTCAATTAAACTCAAATAGAATGTATTAAGTATCTATTATATTCCAGGCTCTATGCTAAGGAACTGAGCATACCAACTTGAATCAGATGAGTGCAGGGCAAAGTCACCATAAAAAAAGAAGAAATCTATATTATGCATGAAACACATAACACAGAGAGATCCCACTAAATGATAAAGTAACAGAGAAGACACTTTTAATAAAGACCTTCAACAGGGGTAACCAGTTCAGGAAACAATGGCATTTATAGGATACAATAATAACACCCGTGCTATAGCGAACCAACACATCGTGATAATCTAAATAGAGAGCCACCTTCTTACCTTTAATTTGCTTTTGGTACTTCTGCAGTTCGGGTGCCAGGAGCCCACTGAAAGGTCCAAGGCACCCCACGGCATTAGCAATGGCATCTTCGTCATCAGGGTCATTCTCTTCATCACTGTCTCTGATCTTACCATGTCGTCTTGGGAAACATAAAAAAAAAAAAAAAAATTCAAAGAGCGTGCACATCAACCTTTTGAATTTTTGTTAATCTGACAGGTAAAATAACAGAATCTTAATCTAGTTATATGCTAAATTTCTCTTAGTACAAGTGATGCTGACTTTTAAGTAAACTACCTAGTCTCATCCTTTCATCATTTTTCAGTTGGGTGGTCATTTTGTATTAATTTCTAGGAACTTTATTTATGAGAGATATCAGTTACAAATATTTTTCTACGAATATTTTTGTGTCTGTTTATGGAGGCTGTAGTTTGTTCTGTTTTGGTTTTAGTCATACAGAAAATTATTTTTTCCCTTTATTGTTTTTTATTTTTTATTTTGAGTCAGTTATTAAGGCCTTCCCAATTCCAAAGAACTAATGACAGTCTTCCACATTTTCTTCTGCTAATGTATTATTATTTCATTTTTCCCCATTTAACTCTCTCATCTATATGGAATGTATCCTGCTGTCCGATGTGAAGGAAGACTCTAACTTGCTTTCTTTCCACAGTAGGTCTCATTGGCCCAGCACCATTTACTAAATAATATACCTTTTCACTACTGGTTTGATGTGCCAAGTTTTCATAGACTGTATTCCTGTTTATTTTTGTCAATTTCTGGTCTTTGCAGTATTTTAAATTAGCTCATCTGTCTTCCATGCATCAGTTCTACATTATTTTAATTACTGAGATTTTAAATATTTGATATTTTTAAATAAGTTGTGGGGTTGATAAGTGTCCCTTCGGTTTATATTCTAATGTTCCTTGGAAAGTACACTTTTAAAAAAATCACTCTCTTGACTTTAAATCAAAACTTTAAAAAATTCAGATTTTAAGTACCAAACTACTTTTAATATATTTCTAGGGCTTAACAACTATTAAGTTACCGTAACAAATTACGGTATTCAGTCTTTTACCATAAAAACAGAGAGCCCTTACCCCGACACGGAGGCGGGTTTCACTGCAGCTGGGAAGGGTGTAATGTTGTACGTGTACTTCTCCCTCAGCTCTGCCAGCTGTGGGAAAGGGAATGGAGCCATGGAGTAAACGGTCTGAAAAACAAAAGCAAAGACGCCAGGCCTGAAACGCAGCTCCTAAATAACTATCAACCTTAGAGCGGCATTAGGAGTTGAGTGTGAAAAGGTAGATACTGCTTCTTCCACAGAGAGTGGAAAGATCCTACTTCAATATCCGCTTTAGAGAAAGACAAAAGAGTACTGATACACACGCCAGGGAGCTGTCAGACCCACCCGCAGCTGCGCCCTCCAGCCGGGAGCAAGCGCGGGCCACTGGGGCGGTCGGCCCGCCTTCCGCTCCGTTCAGGATGGGTGAGTTCAGAAAGCCACAGCTCCTTTAGTTTTTTGTGGTTGTTTTTAATCCTCAGCTGAGGATATATTTATTGATTTTTAGAGAGAGACGACGAGAGAGAGAGAAAGAGAGAAACATCGATGTGACAGAGAAACATCAACTGATGGCGTCCTGTACACGCCCCCACGGGGATCGAACCCGCAACCTTTCCATACACAGGACAATGTTCCAACCAGCTGAGCCACCTGCCAGGGCAGCTCCCTTACGTCTTTAATAAGAAACCCACTGATGTCCTTCATACGTAGTGCTTGTTTTTCAAAGCATCAGCCTGCTGGATAAAATTAGTAGAAGATCTTGTGATCGACTGCATGCTTTCTCCCAAAACACCACCTTTTCAAATATCTGTGAATGAGCGCTAGGTGAAAATTGCTAGCTGTTTTTTTTTAAGTGACAGTGTAAAGCAGACTGTTAAAAATCTATAAATAAAAATGGGAAAAACACTGGTGCTTCATCCAGAATTTCAAATTATGTCATTCTATCAGCAGAAAGAAGGTAATCTTATTTGCTCTCTTAACTTTTTAAAATTTAACTGCTCCAAATTTTAATTATATTATTTCTTCAATCCTTAAGGTTCTTATTCACCAGAAAACAGATGTTAATCACACTAACTTTTATTCCTCCCAGGAAGCTTTTCAAATATACTGATATTTTCTAAGGAAATATTTTAAAGGGGTATTTTCCATTTCAGCAGGACAGTTTCTCTGAAGGCTTAGAGGAGACATCTACTATTTGCATGGGTAGGAAAGGAGGGCTCTGGAAGGGGCCCAATTGTGCTGCTGTTTTACTTTATAGCTCAGAGCCACCACTGTGACAGGACACTGTAATCTGATTCTAAGCAGCCTGTATGTCTGACTGTCCCCTATAAGGGAGCCACTTATATCCCACTGTACCACCCCAAGATTCTACACAAGAAAGTGTTAGCTAAAATTCCTTCCCCTCGATTCTCCATTCTTATTATGCAAAGCTACACAGCTTATAGGGACCCCAAAGTCATCTCTAAGCCATTTTATACACTATATATTTGATTATATCCCAAAGGCTGAGATGCAGTACAAATTTACTAACAGTGAACTGTCGCCATGGAGAGAAACAGAAGGTATTTTGTGGTTCCCACTAGTCTGAGATTGGCCAGTTCCCAACCTCTCTGGGCCTTATTTTCCTCACCTGAAAAAGGAAAGGTGTGAAAGTTGGGATTGTGATTACCTTGAAAAGGAGAGAGGGGAGGGGAGGGGAGGAGAGAAGAGGGTGTGGTGAGATCAGAGAGCAGCATCCGGGGTGTTCAAATGTGTTGATGTTTTATTTCCTAAGTTAGGTGATGGGTATGTGAGTTTTGTTATATTATTTTTAATACATTTCTACACGCCTGAAAGACTTCATATAATTTCATTCTAACATGATCAGAGTGAATTCTCTCATCACTTGATCCCACAAGGTTGCCAACAGCTCATCACCCAAGAAGCTGCCTTATTGCCAATGCAGAATTCCTTCCTCCTTGCTCCGTGACCTGTCTTAGCTCCATGTACCCTTCGAGGGAAACGGATATATGTGAAGTCCTCTCCTCAGCACCCCAACTTTAGGTCCAGAGCACGGCGCCTCCACATAGGCCTCAGTCGAGCAGCACCAGCCTCTGACCACCACATACCAAGTGTGGTCCCACCGCTGGCCAAGAGTGAGCCCACCCCTCTTCACTCACAGGACCTTCTTTCCTTAACAATTTAGAAACTTGCCTCAGATATTTGAGAAACCCATGCCATTTGGATTCAAGCTTAAAAGATGAAATCATTAATGCTAGAAATGTCAAAATTTCTTCCAAATGAAGCGAGATATGTCACTGAAGAGAGTACTTAGCTGAAGGTTCACACTGTGCTTTATTTTTGTCGGTTTTATAAAATTATCAGAATTCCTTGTCTAGCCTCATGAAGGGAGTTTACAAGAAAGGAATGGAAAATACATTCTGCCCCTACTTCGCCCCATCCTGCCTCAGGGTAGATGGCCTGGGTTGTTAGCAAGCTCCTTCAGAGACCAGTCAGCGAAGGACATCCTACCAAGAGAGAAGAAAATTGGTTCCACTGAGCTTTCATTTTCTAACTTTGGTCTTCCTTTCTCTATTGTCTACTTTTAGTTAGTTCCTCAAAGATGAAGTCAGCATGCCTGAAAAAAGCTTACAGTCCTTCTGTGCATATATTCACTCGCTCACGTGAAGGTCTCACGTGTCTGAAGGCATGATTATCCCATGACCACAGGCTTCCCTGGCACAGCACCACAGTGCTCAGGGTACCTGAGTAGGTCCAGGTTCCCAAATCTGTGAGTCAGGGATTTACAACCAATTCCAAGAAAGAAATTCTACTCACCATCTTAAAGCCAGAAAGTGCTACACTAACAGAATCTTAGGGTCAGGAAAGAATTGGAACATAATTTGGTTCCATCTCCCTCCCAAGCAGGAGTTCCCTCTAAGCATCTCCCACAGATGGTCACAAAGACGCTGCCTAACACTTCCAGCACACGCTGTTGTGCAAGGCAGACGGTTTCCATTTTTGACAGCGTTAATTAATCAAATATTATCTTTCTATTGAACAAGCATCCATGTCCTTGTTCCACCCCCTCACCGATGGAAAACAGTCCACAGTCCAAGGGCAGATCCCGCCTGTGGCACATGAGAGCTGCCCCAGGAAACAGTCAATGATCACCTAGCACTTTAGCTTCGGTTTTTCCAAGTATCTATGAGCCCTTCTAATAATTACATCGAACTCACTTTTCTCTATATTGCCCTCAAAGAATTCATGAGAGATGTTGTCAAAAGTCGTTCTGAAATCCATGGCTGCTGTGTCATTGGCATTCCCCAAATCTTTTCTTCTAACACTATAAATTATTTTAAATAGCCAATGCTAAAAA